AATAAAGAATTCATAATTAGTTCTGAGCATTTCTGGGATTACCCTGTTCAGTAGTTCTGCATTACCGATGATCAAAATCCACTTTCCTTGAGAATTTGAAAGCTGCACTGCAGGGTATAAAACACGAGTATCCATATTGTAGACTAAAGTAGAAATCTATCAACAAATGTTGTCACATGAAGTCTGTCACTTGATGTTCCTGGTTTCATCCCCTAGCACTTTAAAATGTTGTTCATAACCATCAAAAATCGTACATTTCACATTTTGTTGGTTGGTCATTCTTGTCACTTTTTTTTTGTAATTTTTTTCCTTTTTTTCTAATGAAGATCTTGCCTGGCTGACGGTAAACAATCAGAAAAGCTATCCCTGGGCATAATTTACGGATACTTAATCCTTCCCAAGTTAATAAACAAACAATGTTCATGAAACATATTGCTGAGAGATGTCTTCGATTTTAAGTCCTCAAGATAAAATACACATTTAAAACGTGGTATCCGATTTCGTGAGCGATAAAACGAGGCCGGCAAAAGTTTGGAGAATTTTTGAGAGTCCTTGTAATGTGGTAATGTGTTTAGGTGACTGTTCAACATTATGTAAATAGCCAACAAGAACATTTACATCGACTTCACCGCTGTCAATGATGTAAAAGTTATCGCCCTCGTCCCCTGAAACAGCACAAAGATAAATGTCATGGCCTTGAAACTTCAAATGTAGAGTTACATATTACTTTGAGCAAGGAGTGGAAGATTACTCAAACAATATCGCCGCTTTTTAGTAGAAAAAAATCTCATTAATCTCGTTAAGCTTGAGAAAATTTTGATCCACGCTGTAGAAAAAAAGGGTACGACAGCAATCGCACAGCTCTAATTATACAAACAGTCCTAGTCTACAGGCAGAAAGACAACTTCTTACATAAAATGAGAGAGTATATTTAGAGGATCCGAGTATACCAGTTTAAATTTGAGAAATCAAAGCGTATTCATCCCTTACCTTGCTGAATTACAATCTCGCCTGCACTGTGTTTAACCAAAGACATAGCATCGAAAATATCGCTGAAGGAAAAACAACATTGATTTACGCTCTGAACCTAAAAATTTTCTTAAATCGAAAAGCAACACTCCCATTTGAAATGCATCCTTCCCGCTTACCTTCTTTCATTTTCGTCCAGGTGAGAAAACAGAATATTTTTCGCGATCGCCTTCGACAGGGCGGCCATGGTTTTGTAGTCTTTCGGTACGACCTATATCAAAATATAACCAAGAAAGGGCCGCGTCAGTTGTCGCGATTCTCACCGAGACTAGTCCTCTACCTCACCAATCTTTAAGACCTTTCAATCATATTACCTTTTTCACATAGGACGTAGCTTCATCTTCGGTAATAGGTCCAGCACTAACAGCTCCGCGGCGTTTTCTGGAGACGCCAACAGGACCTGGAAGATCTTCAATTTCTAGTTTTTCTTCGGGTTCGCCGCGTTCCTGCGGCTCTGCTTCGTGCTCCTGGAAAATAATTTCAAGAGACGTTGTTCAATCATGAAGCAAAATTACTCGTCAGATTGAATTACACGCCGAAAATCGTAGAAGAAACTCGGCATAAAAAAATAACAAAACAGTAGAACAAAGCTTCGACGTGGAGCTAAATAAAATCACCTTTTCGAGCTTTTCAAAATACTCCCGAAAAAACTTGTGAGGGTTGTCTGGCTTCTTGATACATAACTGCACGATGCAGTCCTTAAGAATAGCTTGGATATTATATTTTTCCACATAGACTTCGCACTGCTTGAGCGCTTCAGCATCACCATCCTGCCTTTTAGACGCCATTTTGCTCGCAAATGTCGATCGGAGAAGAACTGACGTGACGTCACAGCTACTTAACCAATATCAGCCATGCTGTGACGTCAATGTGACGTCGAAAACGAAATGCGTGGGTACAAGGAGTCAAATACTTAGATCGACAATTAAACCACGAGACGGTTCTACAGGGCAACCCTCACCAAAATTTCACAACAAGCTTTTTTTTGGGCGCCATAGGTAGCGCTAACTTAACAGAAAGTGGAAAATTGAATTGCACATATAATGAATTCAAGTCGCTTAAATTCTACTTTTAGAGGAATTGCGATGCAATGCGAACCGGTTCCAAATTCAGAATAAAGAAAATAATAGGGCGCTTTATCGCCCCCGCATTCTCGCAATAATTCATTTTTAATTTGTGGCAATATAAACCTCTAGTACCTATTTACGTCGATCTATTACGTCTGTTTACACAGTTTTGTCTCATTTTATTCGATGTAATTCAAATTCGGGTTAATTTTACTCACGTCCATCTTTTTTTACCAGGAGCACCGAGCTACGGATTGTATACCTCATTTTACGATTTCCTTCCTTCATCAACGTTAACACGTTACATTTTTCCTTGAATGGTGTAATTTTTTTTAGGAACATCATTTTTTTTGTCGTAATAAAAGGTGTCCTAAAATGTACCAACTCAGCCATAGTCGTAAAGATAATGAAAATAATTAAAACCGTTTTTATTTTCCTTACACGATTTCACCTGTACATCGGTGAAGCTTATTTTCATTATTCTTTCTCTGTCAGTCATTCATTCAGTTTTGGTGAACTAAGAGACTATTCTTATTATCATCTGACTGTCGATTTTTATTCATAATACACCTGATATTACTAAAATTTCAAAGGTATGTTCCTTGACATGGCCTTATGGGCACGTCTTCTTGACCTTTAAACTGGCTCACTTAGAAAATGTATTTAAACTTTTAGCATTCAATTTTTTCATTGGTCCATGGAAGCGTCCATCCAGCCCTAATAATGAGACTAAGACTGCGATCTTTGTTTGTTGAGACATCATTAACTACGTTAGCCCAAAATCTTAGACTAAAACGAGTACTGTTTGATAAGTACTTGGGGAGGGTGCTTTTTGTAAACGTGGCGGCAGACTGTTACATGGTGCGTACCCTCGGTGTGAGACGTCGAAAATTTAACATTTTCTGTCACGAAAACAAAAACTTTTGGCAGAAATTTTGGTCTAAATGGCTTGTTCTTTTCACTGTTTCTATTCAACTGTGTGTAGGCTTTGTAAATGCAATCTGGAAGTTGAAGGGGAGGGGGGAGAGGGGGGTTTGTACTCAGAGCGGTACTGAAGGTAGAGTTAGGTTCGAAACCTTAAAAATGTTTTTCACCCCATCAGATCACTACAGCTATTGCCACTCACTTCAAATTAAAGTCATGAAAAGCTGACCTGTCTGATAGAGGACAGACATACGATAGAACTATTATTTGAGGCTAAAAAAGAACCATGAGTATTTGATCAACATACGATCATCACAAGCACAGTTTCATGTCATCAGATTCTTAGTCGGTAGATTTATATAGACTAATTTGCGAATTTCATCAGCGTTGAAAGCCGGTGCTTTTTCACTGAAGATCATTTCCTCTACTGAATCACTTATTTTCATCTAGCTAGACATCTAGTTTTTATTGTTACTATGTATTATTACAATTTAATTTAGTTACAATTGTTTATTCCTTTAAATTCGTCTCTCTATGGCCTGTGTTACATTTACGTGAACTGAAAACAATATGGTACTTAATACATTGATATTATACACAGCAGTCAAAGTACATTGAAATCACGTGCATATCTTGAGCTCTCTTGGATTTAAGCTAGATTTCTTTCCAAAACTCATCAGATTTGACGAAATTTAATGTTACCAAAATTTGTCGCTTTTTCGCAAGCGAGACAGCGAGAAGTTCATCGGCGCAACGTAAGTGAGATGAAAATGAAAACAATTTAGGACAATAGGTGTAATCCATACATGACTATTTACCTGCCCGGTGGTATCACCATCACAAAGGAACGAAGACATAACTGCCCAAGTAACCCCGTTCACTGCTTCAATAATGAACACATTTTGAGAACTCAAACAAAATTTACACGTCGACAACTGTGGTTATAATCGCGATATTTGAGTTTTTAGCATAATTATTCTTGAAACGTTTTTTTATTTATTCATAGGTCTTGAATAAATAAATAAATTTGTTTCAATTCATCTTGACTCACTCGCCCGAGAACCTGACTATTTTTGAGATAAATCTTCCACAAATTAAGATGTTAATACGTACTGAGTTAAACAAAGAGATAAATCAACATCTTATTTCCAAGATCTTCGAGATTTTATAATTTCTCATCCAGGTGGAGATCGGTCTCGTAAAGCAGAGGAGCCTTAGGAAAAATGTGGGATATTAGCTAAAGACGAAACTGGGGCGTGTACTAGAGCAGGCTACCGCATGTGCGATCGATAACGAAATGCAAACTAACCATTCAACTCCAAGAAGTGATTAACATGTAATTTCTCCCCATAATATCAATACGTTATCCAGCAAACAGGTAATGAGAACACTCAAACTCATCCAGTAGTAACAGATGCTTATGACCTAAGGTTATAAGCTTCTGTTAGTGGTTGTTATCCTGATCTAACACCAAATTTTTGTAGCTAATTTATATAGAAGTGTGTAGCAACCAGGGGGAGAATTCAGTAACAATCTGGTCTTGGGAGTTAAAGGGTTAATGGCCAACTGAGAAGATCACATGCAATGATCACATGCAGGGATGTACACTGATGAATATTTTCACAAAGTAATTGAAGCATTATGCTCTACAGGGTGCAGAAAAAAAAGGGGGCAGAAAAAAAAGGGGGGGGGGGGCGGAGTTGAGGTAAGTTTTCAAACCTCTTCCATAAGTGTATCATTCAAAAAGGCTACACACATTTAAGTTTCATTTTGGTGTATCTAGAAACAAGGAATAGAACAAATTTGCACACAGCTTTTCTTTGTTTCTGAGGGAAATCAGTTACTTGCAGATCACCTTTAAAAAAGCCATTATTTGGAAAAATTATTTTCTTTCATTTCATTTTTTTTATCATTTTAATCAAGAATGTTGAACACAAATCATCATAAGTGATAAATATCCTCTTCTTCCCAAGCCCTTCTTTACTCTGTCAGCATTTGAAGCACTTGTCGAACTCTGGATTCAACCACAGTATCCTGTTCACTTCCCCCTAACATTGTAAGAGAAAAATAGCACAAAGTAGTGAACCAGGGCCAAAGGAAAAGCTAACACAATGAAGAATAGGATTAAAGTCTCTGCTTTTGGTTAGGTTTGATAAGATTAGATATGCCATGGGGAGGGGGGCAGGGGGCAGGGGTGGGTGGAGGATTTTGAGAGGGGATCACATAGTTTTCAGTGGGAACAGAGGGGGTCTAGTTATTGCCAACAGAGTATAAAAGAAGGACTATAGAAAATGGATTGCCAATTAACTGGCAATACTGAACTGAAGAATATTACAAAGCCTTATGGAGGGGTCAGTCAAATTTTATTGTGACCCAACTAAAATCCTCTGACCCCTCTAGACAGTAAATAATGACCATTTCCTGGATTTGGTTAACAGAGATTTCTCTCATGAAATAGCTGATGACAGTGAGGCCTGAATCAACTATTATACACAAGAGTGAATAGTATAATTGTTTCAGAGTAAATCTATTAGTTAATTCAAATTTTAGCAACAAGCTCATATTTTCTTTTCTTTTTTTGCTAACTACACAATGTTAGGGAAATAATTTTGTTCACTGCCTATCAGGCAATATGCAGCCAGTAGTGTAGCCAATCAGGTTGCTGCATTTGTGGTAGGAAGCTAGTAGATTTTACATTACAATGATGACAAGCATCCACCCTAATGAGGAGGGGAGATGCTAGCAAACACTTAATATGCTGAAGGGTTTTAGCCACTTCCTTTAACATCACAGATACAATAAATGTCCATTTCCAACTATATCACTGATCATAAATGTCTTCATATACAAACCTTCTCCAGAGTCGAGCCTTTGCTCTGCTATCTTTATAGTCTTCTCTTTTGCTGCTCCTTCCAGTCCCTCGAGATATTTCAGCAGAATGCCAAAGTTTTCATTGGAGATCTAAAGAAAGCTTGGTTTAGTTTAGTTTAAATTGTTTGTACTTCATTTCATATCTGAAATTGTTTGTTTAAAATAATTTTTTAATGTTTTTGAAGAGGGTTACACAATGAGGGATGGTAAATAGTAAAATCAGGACTCATGAGAGGCGGAGACTCCTACTTCCAAATCCAAGACTGTGTAAAACACTTTTAGCAACTTACATTTGTTTTACTGAGATTACTGCTAGATACTAATAATACTAGTTTTCCATATTCCAGCCCATTGTTTAGAAGCTTCAACCATTTATAATAACATCTATCCTTTGCAAAGCTGTTTCTCTACTAAAAAGGGATATTCACGTAGATCTTAGACAAATTGGAAAAAAAAATTTTTTATTTCCTTGTTATTACCAAGTAAGAGAACTTTGCTTTTTACATGCTCTAAAAATCAACCCCTCTTCACTTAAGTATTAAACTTTTAGGTGCTTTCTGTTCAAAGCTTTTGAAAGTGCTTTCAAGTTTAACAATATCTAATCAATTAATTTCACTGACCTGCTCTTGATCAAACATATTCTTCAGAAGCCACACTTGACGAACTTTCTTAAAGTTCCAGTGTTGCCTATTGTTAAACCATGTGTGCAAGTAGTCAATAGCTGGATGAAGGGCAGATTTTGATTCCTTTTGCAGTTCTTGTTTAGATTTCTTTTTCTTCTTTTTCCCTTCATTATTCATCTCTGCCTTGACTGCATCCTCACAAGTCTCTAACATTTCTTCGTGAAGTCCTTCATTACTTTGTGTATCAAATATGTAATGTTTTTGTTCTTCAAAAAAGGCATTATCATCAGGCTTCTTTTTTGTCCTTTTCTTCCCAACGACGATAGTCGATTTTTTCAATTTTTTATCATGTTTGCCTTTGGAATTTTCCCTATTCTCGCGTTCCTCTTCACTTTGAGCCGAATAATTGTCATTACCACGTGAATTTTTCTTTCGTTTCTCTTTGTCGAGACTTTCTTGATCTCTGTTTTCCCTAAACTTGTCTTCTTTTCCGAAACTAACGAGCTGCTCTTCGCCAAAATTTCTCAGTTTACATTTTTCTGAGCTTGTGGGTTCTTGTGTTCTTTCACGAGGTTTTAGCTTACCTTTAGATACTCTCTCTTTTTGTTCGCCTTTAGATTGGCAATTATCAGTTGTGCTATTGCACTCTTCTGTCCTCTCAACAACTGTCTCCTTCTTTATTTTCTTTCCCTCTTTACTTGAAATATCTCTTTGGCAGTTCTCTCCGTCAGAATCTCGTGCACGTTTCTGCCCTTTCGGTAAAGTTTCACTCTGACTAAATTTGCGAGCCATCGCAACACTTTTCTGATCACGATGCCCTTCGTATTTTTTAGCTTTCTTTTTCTCTTTCCTTCCCTCTTTTGAATTTCCCTTTTCCATGACGAAAGTAAAAGCTGGGACGAGAGTTTTACTGCTTTGATCACTTCAATTTCATGAGAAATCTAGCGGTCAACTCACAATGTTCTCCGCCATGTTGAAAGTTACCGAGTGGGAACCTGGGTCAATGGAGGTAAAGGCTGCCCCATTCCTTCTCAACCTCCCCTGGTAGCTAACTCTGTTATGAACTGGCATCCTGTCTGAGAGGTGTTCAATACGCCATTTTACAGTTATGTACTTTGTTGCCAAGCCTTTGATTTGGAGTGAGGCTGAAGGTGACCTTGTTGTGATAGAGACCAGTATCTAGTTAGCATGATAACAAAGTAATTTGCATTTGAAAAGCAGTAAGGTTTGTATCATAACAAGGTCATCCTTAGCCTCATTCCTGTTCAAAGGCTTAGCAACAAAGCACACAACTGTAAAATGGACTATTCACCTAACCACTTCAAGCCACTAAAAAGCCAGACCAGCAGGAGGGACCATCTGGCTGGTAAGGTGGACAAACTCTTTTTTTTCCAAGATCTCATTAGTAATTCTTCTTACTGTCTGCCATACAATTCTTATGATGTTAGTTGGGAGAATTTGATACTGTATCAACTTATAATCCCCTAATTTAAGTTTTTTTTATTAAATACTGGTCAAAGAGTGATTAGCACTTAATTTCTCCCTACTCTATAACCCCTGAATCAACCATTAACACTATGAGAATGCATGAAATGATCATTAAGTTACATAAGTCTTGTTTAATAAACAAATTCTCCTTATCTGAACAATAGGAAATGTATGGATAACAGTTTGAAGAATATGCATACTGATGTTAAGGTGTAAGGGGTTTAAAAAGGCTCCAGTGTAGGAAATAGAATCATTTATGAATGTTCTTCAGATCCTGGTTGTTTGAAGCTTGGATAATGCTATCCACTGGATAAATCTCTATTCAGTGGATAGCAAAGTATGTTTTGGAATCATGTATCTGCTGGATAGTGATTTATCAACTGGATAGAGTTATCTGCCCTTTATACAACTAAGCCCAAGTGTGTGTCATGATCAAGAAGCATCTCTTTGGTTTGATTTTTAGTTAGCATGTCACAAGCCCTCAAAACTAGTAATTGGAAACCAATGTCAAATGAGGCTGAGCACATCTCATGGAAGAGACCGCCATTATTTTAAGTGCTGAAAGGGGTTTGTAATGATGATCTTATTCTTTCGAACATTATTTTCCCTTTAAAAAATATTGTTGTATCAAGACAAAACAGATTTACCAGGGTAGGGCTGGGGAGGGACATTTGTTAAAGCCAGGAAGTAAAATTTGCCTGTAAACAAGTTGTCTTTAAAGGTCTGCCAATGGTTGTAGGTTCTATCCCTTAGAGCAAAAGGTATTAGTAGCTGAGTTGAAATGCCATCAAGTACGAGAGGAATTTTACATTCTAACTTATTTTTTTAAGTCAAATGCAGCAAATGACCCTTTTTCCAAGATAATAAACATTTTTCTATCATTCTTTCAAAAACAATGTCTCTCAGTCATTCTCTGGAATTGAAATATTCATATCAGCACCATGGGAAATTAAGAGTTGTTTCATTTTACCCTTGCAGGCTATGGCTGCAAGAAACAAAGGAGTCTCCCCTGTCACTCTCCTAGCATTGATGTTGGCCCCATGCTGCAACAATATTTGTGCAACATTGGTGTGTCCCCTAATCGCTGCCTCATGGAGTGGTGTATCACCAGAATCACCCCGCTTATTGACATCACTTCCTCTTTTAATAAGGAACTCAACAACCTCTTCATAACCATCTAGAGCTGCTAAGAACAGTGGTGTTTTGCCCTCAAAGTCTCCAACATGAATGTCTGCACCATTGTTAATTAAAAGTTCAGCAATTTCTTTGTCAGTAGAGTAGTGCTTAGGGTTAGTGGGGTCCTTCCATACCGATCAGCCAAATTTACACTGCTTCCACTTAAAAGTAACACTGCAACAATTTCTTTGTTGTTAATTTTTCGCACTGCTAGGCTGAGTGGCGTTTCTCTTTTAGCAGACATAGCATTGACATGACTTCCCTTTTTTAGCAGGTAAGAGACAACTTCTAAGTGGCCTTCTTTAGCTGCATTATGAAGAGGAGTGTAACAGGCCATGTTTGACATATCCACACTGCTTCCATTTTGAACAAGTGTCTTAACACATTCTAGACATCCTTCTTCTGCAGCAAGCAAGAGAGCAGTGTCACCAAATCCTGTAGATGCATGGAGATCTGCTCCATTGTGAATAAGAATGGCTAAAGTTTCTGCATGATCCTTCACAGCAGCCATATGCAACGCACTTCTACCCCATGTTGACTGACTGTCCACAGGAACACCCAAACGAAGTAGGTACAAGACTGTTTCTTTATTTCCTCCCATAGCTGCGTAGTGAAGAACACCTCTTCTGCTCCTGTCCTTTACATCAACGTTTGCACCGTTTTCAGCCAAAAATCGTACAACTTCACACGAATTCGATGCTGCCGCAATTAAAATGGGCGCGGCTGCTCCGTCATCTCGAAATGGGGACGGCTTGTTTACGTCTTCTCCTAGCTTTAAAACTCTTTTCATGTGTCTGGCACTCCCGTTCTTTGCTGCTTCGTGAACGAGGGACGAATGCTGTGTATTTTTTTCAGCCTTTTCGAGAACTTGCATAATTCTGAAGAGCAGTTCCTGTTTTTGGCAAGATCTCCCAATGTTGCTTTGGTCTGGCACGTGTCTATTAACCTCTTAGGAACTCTGACATTCAAGGCTATTATAGTGTCCAGTTTGCTGGGGCTACAAGACAAAATAGTTTTGCAAGTTCTGACATCCTTTTCCATACATGCTGCGTGTAGTACGCTATAACCACCATGAATGTGCGGTGTAGTGACGGCTTCAAAGGCAAGAGATACCAATCTATTCGGGGCCGCCATTTCAGCCTGTTTAGCGCACTTCCTCAATAAAACACCAATCTATCCAGGATTGGCTCTAGGAGAAGTTAGAGGGAAGATTGGGGAGAGACTCAGACAAAGGAACAGCCTTCCCATCGTTGTTCGAGCACAGGCAGCCCAAGCTCCAGCTGTTAGATGATTATCTTGGGGAAATAAGAGTCCTAGCAAAATTATAAGAGTTTCTATGGGAATATTTACGACCAGCAGCATGCACCAGAGTATAATTCAGATCAAGACCCAAGCAACAGTAAAGCAGCCCTTACGTTTTAACGTTATTTAAAAATCATCCAATAATTTATGCGACAAGTGTGAGATTTTGCCCGAGACAAAATGGACCACCGATCAGCTTCCTTCGAGGCTGTCTCCGTTTCCTTATCTTTTTAATTTCCATCCGTTTTCATTTAATTATCTTTTCAAAGAAAAACTTCTGAAAACGGGGTAGGGGGTAATGCAAACCCTGTCTTTCCGTGGTTGCTCTGGCGTCTTAAACTAAAACGAAAAGACAATTCTAACGTGGACTACGCTAAAGGTTGCCGTGATAGGGTCACCACCACAACCACAGATGCTTTCTTCGGATTCGCTTAATTTGTTGAAGTTCACACTCATCATTTTTGTGTTAGATCGGCTACGGTGGGTGGGCAGACCAACCATGGGAGAAGAGTACTACAGTATTAAAGAAGGAACACAAGTGGATTTAACAAGAACGACCTTTAATTAGAGCCACTCTTTAAAACAATTATACTACAGTTAAAAACCTAATTCAAGTGTAAGGCACTGGACTAAGCACTGGACTAAGCACAAATGCTTGTCACTTTCTCATGAACAGGCAAACAATCGAGCCACAAGTTCACTCTAATTAAGAAAACAAAAATGAAAAGCGATAGCGAATTTTTGAGATGAATGGAGACGGAAGGCATGCCATTTCTTTGCGAAAATATCATTCGGAATATATCCTGAAAAAAAAAAGGAAAAAAAAGGGACTCCTCTTGCACAAAAAAAGACTGCTACAGTTGAGGATCAATTAAATAAAGATGCCTTGTCCAAGATGGTTGAGGCGTAGCTGAGATTGAAATTCATATCTGCAAAATTAATTCTTGTTTTGTATTTAAATCTCTTGCATACTCGGAGTTCGTCACCATTGCTTTTCAAGTGATGCACGTTAATCTACCAATTATGTCTGATTCTCGTTGACAATAAACTACATTAACCAATTAAAGGAACAATTCTTTGTGATAACTAATTACTTGGTGAAGCTATTTAACTCAGTTGGCTACAAAACGTCCAAAAGCCTACTGTGATTATCCATCCACTAGTAGAAACAAAGAAAAAGAAAAAATGGGCCAAATTTCGTGTCCCTAAAAGGTACTGAATACAAGGCTAACACCAAAGTCAAGATTCAGGAGCCTGCAGTCTCGACAGTATCGTCTCCAGTGCTTCTCTTCACAAATAGTTTCCCTGGGCTCTTGAATCCTTTTCCTTTAGCTGAGGTTAGTTCTTTATCATTATCAGAAGAATCAATAGAACCCATCTGTAGAAGAAATAAAAACAAGAGCTGAAGCCAGACTTCTGTATTCCTACATCAACCTATACAGGCAAACTTTGTTAGGCCTTTCGGCTTCAATGCTTCTGTCACAGGAGTCGACTAAATCATCAGGAAGCTCACCTTGTCTACCAACTCGGTGATTTCATTTGAGTGTCAAAACGTATTCAAAATGGCATTGACACAGACAGCCAATGAGAATTCGGTATTAAAATCAAATTGCCCGAAGCACGAGAAAAGAGACGATAACGTCGTGATTGGTGTTGACTTTGTATCCGATTGGTTGAAAAGTTGGCGCAATTCACAGAACGAAATGGATTTAATCCTCCATTTCTTCCCATAGTCGACTGAAAAGGCTCCTTTCTAATGGGTCATAAGACTGGGGCGACAACTTTAACTAAACAATATTGAAAACTTAACTGACACAAAATTGATTTCACGCCTTTTGAGCTTAGTAAGGATTCTAATTCTCCCTTTTGAGGTCTCGCTGGTTCATTTTCTAATGCCTGTTTTGTAATACATGTGCTGTATGACACTCATTTGAAACATAAATAGCATCTTGTTACCACTAACATTAACTTCTCACAAGATATACTACTTGTGAACTGCCAGCTGGAAGAGTGGTCTCTTTCACAACCCTTGTTTCGTCTCACCATGCAATGTCTTCCATTCCCCATCTTGCCAGTTGCGTGACGGGACCAAACAAAGGGTGCGAAGTAGACTATCTGGCAAAGGTTCCCCCGCACAATTAAATTTTATGAAAAGAAGAGATTCCAACAAGTTTTGACAAAACTTACGAAGTACAAAGCATTAATCCGAACAATATTAAAATTAATTTTTTACAAGTTTAACACAAAAATTGATTATTCTTTGACAATTCTTTTACAAAAAAAACGTCGGGGCTTACGTTTAAGTTTGTTAAGGAAGACTTCAGATAGATTTTGTCATAAGGTTTAGTATTTAGGATCCCTCAAGGGAATTTTTTAAGCTTTGAAGATGGTCATTTTAAACTGGTCAGCTTAGGCTAAGGACGGTACACACTTGAAAGGTTTACTGAAACGTTTAAACACTCTACCAGTTTAAGACTGTAAATGGGCCTGAAAAGTAGGTCTGTAACACAAGTTTAAGATATTTATAATTCTTAGAATCAGAGGTCTTACGAAATGTAAAAACCCGTTCTAAGTCTCCAGATGAAAAAGCTTAAGAAATTCAAGCACAACAAAAATGCCAGAATGTTGAATTGAGTTTCCTTCAGCACTTCATAGTTGACTTCATCCTGGTTCATGTTGAGTGTTGTACAATTTCCCTTCTGTGATAAAATTTATGAGCCTAAACCGCACTTTATTCAGCTCTTAAATGACCGCCAACCCAATTCATTTAAAACTCCTTTCACCTTAACATCAGTGTGCATATTCTCCATTCTATTCTCTAGATCTTTCCTAAGGTGCTGACAAGGAGAATTTGTTTTACAACAAATAGTTTCTTTAGTAGGTGATCATTTCCTTCATTCTCGTAACCTTCAACTGTGATTCATGGTTGATATTGTAAGGAGAAATTAGATGCTGGTCACACTAAGGGGTCAAAGGGTTAATACGGTTTAAAAACTTAAACAGCAATCTCTTTAGCTCTTAAACAAGCTCCAACTTAATATATATATATTTTTTTTAACTGAAAACTTTCAGGACTGTGATGGAAGCTCAAAACAGAAATTAATGCAAAATTAATTTACAGTAACGCCGCTGTAGTTTGAATTTTTACAAAATTACAACGAAAAGGATTAACGAGCTCAAGAAGAGAGAAAGGACACTTAAAACGACACCAGAACAAAAACGCCAACGTAAAAACCACTAATGAAAAGAAAATAACTTCACTCGGACCTGTTCTAAAAGGATTGCCTTTCTCAACTGGAAGCTTGCTCAACCTAAAAACAATTATGGCAAAAATAAACATTCCTCAGCACACAAAACAAATATTACTATCAGCAGCTTGCTTAACATAATAAAAAAGTGATCATGTGGTCTAAACGTCCGGGTGAGTGTAGTCCTGAGAAGGACTGTTGTTAGAAGTTGTCAGAGTCCTTAAACGCGATTCTATGCTCAAGAATGAAAAAAAAAAAAAAGGAAAAAAAAGAAAGAAAGAAAATAGCCAATTAAAAGTGACTATTTCTCAAACACTGTTCAAAGATTTATTTCGATTCCAACACGGTTATCCATAACCAATGAAGGCCATACACATCTGCCTATTACAGAATGATTCTCGAAGCGAGCCGCTTAGTCTAAAAAGTTACACCTGAACCAAATCGGAGATGTTCCACCTCAACAAAACTTAGGATGTTCGTTGTGAGCCGTTAAGATAGGATATCCTCATTTAAAGAGTTTTTGACTAATATAGCCTGTTCAAAGAATTGATGTTTTTGTTCCTTTGTGACCAATATGACAGACCTATCAAACCAACAACAGTTTTCTAACGTAAACACTTCACTAAAGACAGAAAGTTGTTAAATGATTTTCTTACCTCGTCATGAGCATCATTCATCATATCTTCAGCTGCTTTCTGCAAGTCTGATTCATTCAACATAAGCTGAAACATACAGTAAAGCGTTTAATTAGACACACAAAACAGATCACTGTACTTGGGTCTTTGACCACTGAAAATACAACGAGAATGGATGGGAAAGTTGCAGAAAAAAATTCAGTTTAATGAAAGAGGAAAAACACATAAATCCAATCCATACAAAGCCAATCACTTAATAAGTTAATCCTTCTATTCTCATGAGTGACTAAGATAGAATTTCTCCTTACAATATCAATACAATATCAAACGGAAAAGTGGCAAGAATAAAGAAAATATCAATTAAGGGGATTATTAGTTGATTCAATATCAAATTCTAGAGCTCCATGCTCAATTTATCAGAAAGTTGCCTTCAATGGTAAAGTGGTTGCCTTAGGAAAAACTCTGATCGCTTCCCTGTTCTCAGAACCAACATCATATAGCAGACAACAGGGAGAATTACCAATAAGATCTTGGGAATGTAAGGGTGAAAATTTGATTCTAATGTTAGAAAATATACCTTTTCGGATTCCCCATTTTCAATCGCTTGAATTGTAGATCCTTCCGATGAGATAATTCGTTGAGTAGTGGATGATGATGTGACGACCTGCTTGGAGCTAACAACACGTGTGGTGACAAATGAAGAGGACGTTTCTGTAGATGAAGAAAATGTGCTTCCTTCTCCACTCAACACCAGTTCTGGGAAACCTTCTTTCTCCGATGATGATGTCTGCTTGGTGTACGATCGTTCCTCGGAAACGAACACTTTCTCCGATATCCTTGTTCCTTCTTCACCTGGGAGAACAGCAATAACCTCTTGGGTTTTAACTACCATCTCATCCTTCTTCTCCTCTGCTTCTTCTTTTTTCTCCTCTATTTCCTCTTTCTTCTCCTCTACTTCCTCCTTCTTCTCTTCAACTTCTGCAGCAACTTCAGTGGCAACCTCCGCTGAGGCCACAGCCTCTATAGCAGCCTTTGCTTTCTTCTTCATCTTCTTTTCTTTTTTCTCCTTCTTCTTCTCTTCATCTTTTTCATCGTCGGAAGATGAAGAAGACGACGAGGAACTGGAAGTTGAACTCTTCCTGGATTTCTTTTCTTCTGCCTCTTCCTCAACGACTGCAGGTTCTGGTTCAGCAGGTCTCATTCCTTCAGCAAGTTCCAACACACAGTCTGGCTTCAACCTGTAGAGAAACAGATGAAAAACTTCAGACCAGATTTCAAACAGTATGTAATACTCCCTTAAAACTGACTTGTTTAACTGAACTATGCAATTGGTCCAAAAGTTTCCAAAGAAGCTGGGGTGCTGCGTCGGTGGGAGAGTATCACAGGGTAATTTGGCATTATCAACTAAGTTGCTAACATAAATTGACCATCATCGAGAGTTCAAAAGCTGATGTTTCGAGCGTTTTCCCTTCGTCAGAGCAAAAGAAGGGCTAACGCTCGAAACGTCAGCTTTGAAACTCTAAACGGTGACCAACTTACATTATCAACTCAGTTATAAATAACAAATGACCTTGTTAGATTCAAAACTTATACCAATGGCAACTTGGTAGCTCGTGTTTCCCCACGCTTCAGAAAGTTTACATGTACTTCTTTTTGGTTAAGTTCTCCAAGGCTCTTTGTAATAGTTTCCATTGTTCTGAGTGGCTTTGGTGGCTACGTTGGTTTTGATTTTAACACTAATTACTCTTACAACAAGAGTTTGAAAATAAAAGATTTGGGTACAAGTTGTGTAGTGTTGTGATTATACAAGATAGAAAGAGTTATTTCATGAAGTGCTGAGTATACTTTTTACACTTATATCATAACATCATTGTGGAAATCTAATGGTTAAACCATCCATAAATGAATCTCACTTACAAGTCAGTGGCAGAAAGAGTAAAGCGTTGCATTTCGCTTCGTGAACTGAGATAGAATCCTTGACCACTAACGGAGAACACAAGGGATTTAATGGCATCCACATCAGACTTTCTCATTGCTGAGGCCTTGACTTGCATTTTGAGGTTTGGAATAGAATAAACAATCAAATCCCCTTGATTGCTAACACATGCAAGGCAGTGGTACACCATTCCAGAATCGTCATTCTTGCTTCTAACATTGATCAGACCAATCTTGCGCACTCTAGAGCCATCAATTGCAGTGAGCTTCTCTTTATTACGGGCCTTCAAATGTGGCAAACTGAACACTTTAAACTGTTCCTCAGAGCAAATTACTAGGGAGTGTGATCCGCTCATGTCGGGCTCTAAGGTAGTGGGAAAAGTAGAAGGGACACAAATGATTTTCAGTGCAGGCTGTTTGAGCATTTTTATCTCAGTCACAAAATATGACACTAGTAGGAGACATCATTTTTCTCTGTGAAAATATTCTTATGAAAATCATGTACTCAATTCAGTGTTCACTTTTACTAGCAGTTGAATCAAGTCTGCATTCTCTACCACTTCAATGCTGCATTGAAAACAAAAAACAAAACATGAACACGAGAGATTTCTCAAGATTGCTGTTGTTTTGAGAAGAGGCAAGCTAGTCAGAAGCTAATAAAAAACTAAACATAAGCAGCAAAGACAACGAGTCTATCAATTTTTAGTTAACTACCAGGTTTTCTAGGAGGAAAGTAACTCTGAACCTCTCAGTCCCCTGGATCTCCAACCAAAGCTCAAAAAGAAAAATGTACTCAGTTCTTGAGGCAAGTGGCTAATTTCTTCTTCCCCTTAAGTGTCTCAGAACAGGGCACAATGGCCCAGCTGAAAATTACCTTTTTCATTATCCTCAATAATATCTCCTTGAAGTGGCAATCCATCTTTGTCAACCACAAACATGGACACAACCGGTGCTTTGTGTTTCAGTTTGATCTCTTTTCCAATCTCCACCTGTACTTCCTCCTCAGATCTCTTCTCTTCCTCAGGGATGGTCAAATAACACACATAAATGTGACCGGCATTTGTTCCTGCCCAGAGAGAAGGGCAGTGGTGCACCCCTGAAGATAAACACAGATGGATATCCAGTTAATGCCAGAAGGAAGATTCAAGGTAACTGGTATTAGAAATAGTTATGGTGAAACTACATGTAGTTTTGTGATAACTGAAATCCATGACCACAAAAATAGCCATAGTTGGGCATAAAGAAAGTTTTCTTCATCCAAACTTTAAGACAGTAAAAGAAGAAAAAAGTCTTCTGTGTATGCTGCAGTTGTTTTAGAACCAATAACAAGAGTGACTTCTTACCATCTCTGATGTAAGTGTCCACAAAGTACAAACAGCGCACCATACTTAAGACACTCTCATCAACACGGTTTTCCTCAACAAGACGGGACACTGGTGAAGCCACAGCTTCTGGTGTAGGAGAGGCTGGAGCTTCTCCTTCTTTCTTGGGGGTCCTATCTGCAGCCCCTCGGGATCCTCTGCGAGAACGTAATCGCCGGAAGGATCTTCGAATGCTCTCTTTGAGGGATTTACGTCTGGAAAGATGCTCTCCATTATCAGTTTCTTTGAAAAGAAAAAACACAAATTGGAGTTGTTAGTACATAGATTTATATCACATTTACCTAAGAATTCAATGTAAAGTTCAAAAGAAAAATCTAGATGTATCATACTACTAATCTAAGTGCTGATTTCTAGATCATCAGCCACATATTCCCTACAAACTTCGGCTCTAAAAATTTGGCATTAAATAAAAAACTATCCTAAAATTGATTTTTTTCCTCTTTCTTTCTTCTTATCACCTTTCTGTTTCAGAATAAATCCATATTTTCCACAGAAATTCCTTCTTAGCCACATCTATCAGTCAAAGGGTTAACCCTTTCACTCTCATGATCTCTTTAGTAATTCTTCTTACTGTCTGCCATATATTGCTTATAATTTTAGTCTAGAGAATTTGGTTTTGAATCAAGTGATAATCCACTCATTGATATTTTTCTATATTTCCATAATATGTTTACTTGAGGTTGTATTTATATTGTAAGGAGAAATTCTTTCTTGGTCAGTATTGGGTGTCAAAGGGTTAACATCAGGGGAGGTAAAAATTAGTAATAAAAAAGTTGAAATGGTTTGAGAAGAACACCTGCAACTTTTACAGTTTCCAATATTTTGTTCAAGTGGATTTAAAAACTCCACTCTTACCTTGGCTGACAGTCCATTTTGTTGTAACAGTCTTCTTGCTAAGATAATCATACACAATAAAGCCATGGACAGTTCCAGCTGCCAGGAGTCCCCAGCGTGCTTCCACAACAAGTGCACTGACTGGTGCTGCTGGAATGAGCTGAAGACCAGTTTGCAGTTTAAATCCTGCAGGAACAGTGATTGAACCTTCCTTGGGAAGCAAAGGGCCATGTCCTTTCCACTGGAAATTTTCCTTGTCTTCAGTGAAGTCGATCTCGACCATCTGATAGATGGAACAAATCATTTCAGTTACATGTTGTTTGTGCATTTGAATGAGGAAAAATAAACAAATTGTCAGAACACCTCCTGAACAATGTTCAAAACCAATAATTGTTTTAATTGCCTGCAGATGGGTCACAATTAGTTCCATGAAGAAATAATCACTAGCTAATTCTTTAGTCTTGACTGCTCATACCTGTGCTTCCACACTAGTCTCTTCTTCACACAGGTCAAAAATGAGGACCTGCCCTCCATTACCAGCTGCGGTAAGAGTCTTTGACTTTGGAGACATGATGATCTTGGTCACAGCAAATCGTGGATCATCTGAGTAAGGAGAGTAGTTGCCAACTTTCTTAAATGGTGGCCAAACTTCTTCTTCCGCATCCCTGGGCTCAGAATCATGACCTTCATGTTCCCCAACAAAATACTTGGCAGTGTGAAGAGTGTAGATGAGCTGCATTTCAAGCTGTGACACATCCCAGAAATTGATGGAACCATCTTCATGCCTGTTGAAGAAATACAAAGGAAAAAAAGCTGGTTGCTTTCCAAGAACAATTAAGGTACTTATTGAAACTATGTGGTTCAGTGTTTTGTATGGTTTATCTCTCAGTCTTTCATTTAACCTTTCACCTTGTCATAAAGTTGTAAAGAAAAGAAACACTGTTGCCCTCAATTAAACCTTGTTTATTATATGTTGGTCTTGAAGTGTCAGAAACTATATACAAGTAATTTGGTCTCATTAACAATTCTTCTTATTGTCTGCTGCACAGATCTTATGAAGCTAGTAAGGGGAATTTGGTATTACATCAACTAATAATCCCCTAATTGATACTCTTCTTCACTCTCATCACTTCTCTGTTTGATATTCTATTAGTTTTATGGGTAGAAATTACGTCTTGTTAGCTCATGGGAGTTTAAGGGTTAACACATGAGTATAACAACACAGAAAACAACATTTCAGCTAGGCCTGTCAAGGTTTTTAAATAATTTTTCTTAGAAGGCAGACTTTCTTGAGAGCATATAAGGATAAGGATAAGGCAATACCAGACTTACCCCTCCAATGTCTATTAACTTTTGTCATTAATGTTCTCGTATAATTCTGTTTTTAAGACAGATTTTCAGAGCTGAGCACCCCAAGTTACTAAAACCTAAGCCACCCTGAATAACAGACAAATTTGGCTGACTGCTGGCTTTCATGAATCCAAAACAGATGCATTGTAATTCATGGACCATAGAAATAATTCTGCTATTAAACAAAAAGCTTACCCAGTAATCAGCAGATCCTTGGTTTCATCATCTTCTATCAGTGTCTTGCCTCCTGTTATGGGCCAACTCTATGGTGACCAAAGTAGAGCTCATTTTAATAAAATCAATTTTATCGCAAACAACAACCTTTGTACATTTCAAATGTCCAACTTTTTAGAATAGGACTTTCTGACACTGCACATACCTCATTTGAGAAGTCCACTTGAAGTTGTTTCTTCCCAGCAGTCAATAACTGATCAAACACACTTTGAGGACAGTCGTGGCAATGATATGAGCATGTGATGGGGGAAGAATGCAGGCACACCAAGTAGGGTTTCATGAAGGTGGGGAACCTGTGCAGAAAAAAAAAACTCAGTGAGAATACAAATTAAAAAAATGATTTACACAAAGCTTTTAACTAAAGACATACACAGAAGGTTTTTTTAATATCTATAAAAATGGTATTGAGGTATTTTATAACATGAAGGGCTTTGTCTCACCCTGCCTCCTTGGTGACCAAGTCAATGACAACTAATTCTTCTTCGCACAGCACAACCAAGTAAGCTGGATCTATTGAAAGAACACACAGTCAATTTTCAACAGAAAATTTCTGATTAAGATAAAGGGCTGTGTAAGGATCAGATGAAGGAGAACAGTGAAGAACAATAAGGGGTTCACTTGGGGTCTCGGAGCTAACCATATTGGAACTGGTTAGCACATGACTGGATAAATTGCTTGATACTGACTAAAACACAACAATCATTGGGTTACTGTGCAATCTGATAAAAAAGAAATAAACCAAAGGCTGAAAGGATGGAGTCACAGGGCAGCCAGCCAGCCAGAGGTTTGCATGGAAATAACATGCTTTACTCATGACAATACAAACACAATTACAAAATTGATGATTAGGCTGCAATCACTGTGCACCTTCCAATCAAAAAAGCAGACACTGAAAATGCAAAAAAGCTTCTTTTTTTTTTTAATTTACCTGCCCCATTGGCTTTCACAGTAAAGAAGTCCATCACACGTGAAGTAAAATCAAAAGCCACTTGAGGAGTGTTGTCACCTCCTTCAACCAAGTTGGCATCCTGAATCAGAGAGACACAGTGTCGATCTCCATAGCTGGCCCTTGGCATTCCACCGCTGAAGAACACAGAAGAGTCACTCCACTCCACTTTTGTGATGGCTTTGCAAGGGAATGGTCCCAGGGGAGTGACAGCCTTGGGAATCTCTAAGCTTCCCTCCAGTGACCACCTCGTCAGACTGCCATCACCATGAGCGCTAATGAACTTGGTTCCATCTGCATGCCAACTGAGACTTTCGACCTCCTGTGGCTGATCAGAGGATTGAATGCTGAAGGTGGCTTGAACACTGCATCGCTCGTGATTCCACAAGACAACCAAACCCTTCTTATAGCCAATCAGGATCTAAAGAAAAGAAAAATGATTACTCAGGTTTGCTCTATCTACATGTACAACATTGGATAAGGTAAAATTTTTTAGTATTTTAAGGATCATCTATATTATTCCTTCTCTTTCTTTTCTACTCTAACCGAGTATGTACCCTGCATTACACACCTTACAAATCAAATCTAAGTACTGTAGGGAAAGTGTAGGATACATTTTTTTTCTTACAATAAAACTGCTTTGGTCTTGTGCATCTGACAAAACTCAACTACAGTTGATCAAAATTGTTATTTGAAATCTGAGTAAGCCTTCCCTATCCTAAGTCATTTCCATTGGTTGTGGGTTCATTTGTACCCCTGTAAAACATTACTGAAACATTTCACACAATTTTGATACATTTTTAGTCTTGCATAGTTATAACAGGGAACAAGAAGAGGTTCTCTGTAGATTATTTTCACCAAACATTTCCTCATTTTGCTATCTAAAATCCTACTATCTTGTAAACTTCTCAATATAAAGTTCACTCAAAAATTAAATGGGCCACCAAGACAGAGTAAAATACAATGTGACAACAATCTAATAACATGTCTTCTAACCTTGTTAGAATCCTCTGGATGTTCCTGAATAGCTTCAACAGATCCTGCATTTGTCTTGCTTTCTTCCTGGACACTGCAGTAAATTTAAATTTCAGAGGAAGCTCACTTATTGTTCTGCATCCTGAAGCTGTTTTATTATCCACATCAGAATGGTATATTCTTACATGGAACTTTAACTTAAATATTTTTCATTTTATTGAAATCAAAAACAAAAAAAACAAAAAATGAATAGCTTGCCAAATCTGACTGCCTTGAATAAACATGCTGAAGCTTAATCACTAAAAAAAGGGTAAAATAACAAAAAATAATAAAAATTGGATCAGTGAAAACATTTAGAATTTCGAAACACTTGTTCAAAATCTGCCCAATCTCTTATCTTTTGCTACTTTTTAAACTAAAGAAGGCCAGTTCAAAGTCTGAAAGTCTTCCTGTGTTTGTTTTGGAGATAATTTCAACCCCCTAATCTATAATCTTTTTCCTTTTTCTCTTTCCTTATGTTACTTCAACTGATACAAATATACAAACTGTGTTTACTTTGCCTACTACTAAAAATTTTTTCCTATAGCAATACAGACTATGACTTTCTTTCTACTTCTCTTTTTTCTTGGGGAGTATCCAAGACTTTCAAGACATAAAATATTGCACTCTATACAATATTTGTATTATTTCTCTATTAAAATCACATGCCAGCATGTGTTTTCCTGATTTTTCAAATGGATAGAAAATATTCCATTAATAGGAAAATGAGACCACCAAATGGTCATGGTTATTTTAAGAAAACTGAATATCAAAAGAACACATTTTTGATTTGCATAAATATAAAATCTATTATAAAAATGCACCTTTGGAAGCATGACACAAACCTTTGCATGACAACATCCTGGTAAATGATGTATTCTTGAAGTTCAAATGAGTTTATATCCAGCAGATAGATGTTACCACCTTCTGTTCCCAGGTAAAGACGGTTGGTTTTCATGGACAGACAGCACACAGAGATCTTTTTGAGTCTGAAATCACCAGACAAAAGGCAAAATTAACATGAGAAATGGTGCAAGATCCCACAGATAACGAAGCTGAGCACAGCAGGGAGAGAAGGCGTAAATCATAAAGTGTTCAAAAATAAAATATGGCGAAACTCATGAAACTTCATTTCAACTATTACAGAAGATCAAAATCCGGCTGGAAAATCTTTTAAATTTAATTATAAAAGTTGCACAAAAATTTTCTAGATTATAATTTCAAAGAGAAGTAATATGCTGTATGCACAAACAGGAAGAAAAATACATGCAATACAGAAGTCATTCATTATTTTTTTATGGTTATACAAGGTATTTGTCTCTTACTAAGAGATGGTAGAAATTTTACATTTCATAGAATGAAAAAAATTATTTCATGTTTACAACTCTGTACAATGTCTGTCAGACTGGCAGTGTGCCAAATGGAAATAATTGTTGTTGAAGAATTTGGCTCAAGCAAAGTTTATTTTAAAGTCTACCTTCCCTCCAGTGTGCATGTTTTGACTTCCTCCAGAACTGACTTCCCCTCTTTTTTGTTAACCTCCCAAAGATGGATGGTGTTTTGTTCTCCATCATCACAAACACTTATGATACGTCCCTAAAAATCACAGAAGGAAAACATGCTAGAGGTTACAAGAACATTGAATTAAGTTAAACAAAACCAAAATTTGTCACTAGAGTAAAAAAAAAAACAAAACAAAACAAAACCAATTAGATTAGGGAAGAGGGAAATCAAAATCTTCATAGCAAAATAGCAGACAGTATGCTATATCTTCTTTGTGTTTTTTTAAGGATACAGAACTCAGCACAGTAATTGTTATTTTTGCACAGACATTTACCAGCCTTTGCATATCAAAGTAAGGACAACCTGTGGATCATCATTGATCATATACATGAATTTACGGGATTAACAGAAGACAATATCCACACAGGCTATTTTAGTGCACATTTTTTCAAATCCATGAGTCTCTCAAATAACCCTTGCAAACAAAAATAAAATGCATTAAATGTTATTTTCAAACTATCCACTTTTGAAAAGAAGCCCAAAAGATTATTTCATGCAATGTTGCTGACGTAAACTCCAGTCCTCTTAAAACTTAAATGATCTTCACATTGAAACAATGAACTGTACAAGAATCTGCAAATTGATCGTGCTGAAACAGATTCCTATGTAATTAATCTTGGAAAAAAAAAACAAAAAACAGTGTTATCACAGATTTCATAAATTTTGCATATGCCAAAATGCATGGATTTTCACAATGATTGAGCAGGTTTGCATGTATTACCTTAACTTGAGAAATAAAGGCTTCAATTTAGTTATAAGGCATGTCAGTCATTAAACAGATCATTTTCTCAATGTTAAGAATTGCTAATAGCTAAGGTCTAATATCAATTTTTTCTAGTTAAGTGTTATGTTACATTGAACTGCAAATACTGCTTGTAAACATTACTTGAAAGCTCTTCCACTTTGCTTCAATATTCCACAGCACTCCTGCACAGCTCAAATGCTTCAAGAGTGTTTCTGATGTTTTGAAATGAGTTGACTAGTACTATGAATTAATTTACCTAAGATAGGCCAATATCACTGATCATCAACACATTCAAATGTTCAGTTTTGTTGATAGACTTTCATAAAAACTGCCACAAATGGGAGATACTTGACAGAGATGGAAAAAGGGAAAATGAAAAACCTCTCAAAATGTTGTGTGGGTACATTTAGGTATGGGGCAAACAGTTGAAATTGACTGTAGCCTCAGAAAAGCTTTCAGTTACATCGAATCCCTGAGCACAAGCCTTAACTGCGTTAACAGCTCAACTCTCACGATCTGATTGTCAATTCTTCCTTCAAGCTGCAACACTTTCCTTGTTTATTAGTTATGAGAATTTGGTGTTGGATCAAGACAACAACCTCTACCTGATAAGTTTCATATCAATCACTTCTAGGAATTAACAGTGAATTATCAATTCTTACTTTTTCCTATAATTAAGTCTTGTGACAAACAAGAGTGCTTCAATGGGGTGCTACTCTTTCAAATGGTACTTATTATGTTTTCCAGAGATTATTTGTTAACCAATCATAGATAAGAAAGCCTAAAAAATTTTTTTTTTTTTTTAATCAAGACAAGTATTTTACTGATTAGTCTAATCAACATAATTTGCACTACAAGAACAAGTAGCTGTTAAAATTGCTAGCTGTTAATGTGTCTAGGGAATACTGAAGTCTCTCCCAACATTTTTGCTGGTTTCCTGACCCGTTTTCTTGTATAGATTGTCGATTCCTGGGAAGACACTATGGGATTTAGGCTCTTACCCAGGAGTCTTGGTTCAGTATCCAGTAACCTTATAAGTAGACCAGCAAATTCCAACAGTGTATGTAACAACCACCAACCTGATTTCTTTTTGGACAGGTTAGTCACATGAATGACATTGTACACCTAGTAGTGGTGGTAAAATCTAGCTGCCGTTGCCCGCAATACCTCTTGGAGGAAAGAGAAGAGCTTCTTCCCTCACATTTTGCACGAGTCAAACTAAACACTTGTATGCTTCAGGTTCTTGTAGTGCAGAAAACCTTAATTTTCTTAAACTGTTAAACCAGAGTCAATATTTAAGAATTGCTATTCTGTAAAACAGCAAAAGCTTGAAATTTCATTTTCAAAATAATTACAATACAAAGGATCTAACTGAGAAATATCACTCTCAGTACAAGCATGGAAACTCCAAAAATTCTACACAAACAGAACAGTACTTCATAACTTTTGCTTTTCACAAACTACAAGTAACAGAAGTAACAGGCTGCTTCATGCACTACAGCTAATGAAGATGTTGCCTGAACACATTAAGCTTATCACAAAATGCCTCTCAGCACATCAGTGCTAGGACAATGCTTTACACCTCTACTAAAACTCTTAAAGCCACAAAAAGAAAGAAGAGAAAAAGAAATGTACTGATAGACAACCTAATCCATTCACAACCACAAATGGTTTTATTCATTTCAAGACAATAGCCAATATCAATCCTTGGATAAATTCTAGAACCTTTGTTTACATTCCAGATGATTTTTCGAATTTCATCACAAGTGAGCAAAAAGTGAAAGAAATTTAAGATGTGTGAAGCGAGGAAATATAATGTTCTATCAGCTTTACTGCCGCACGACATTACAAAAATAGACATTGGACAGTCTGATGTTTGAAACTCACACCTAAATTTATTCTAGACCAAGTCAAAATAAATAAGCTTATATTGATTTCCTGATTACGGAGCAAGTACGAAGACAAGCTTAATCTGGGTGAAGAAGAGTTTCGAAACCATATTTAACACAATAGTGACAAATTCTGGATTTTTCCAGGCGAAAAAGCGGATGCTTCTGGAGTAAATTCGTTGCGAAGCCCCACCCTACTATCACACACCCTCAATTTTCCCCTCTGTCGATTTCAGTCGAGCGAGTTTTAAACACGATCAAGTATGATAGGAGTGACCGGATGACTTACTTGTTCTGGCAGAAAATGTAACTCTTGAATCACCGTTTCCAGTTGATGACGAGCGGAAAGTTCCACGCCAGGTCGGCCATAGCTAACAGAAAAGTCAAGAAGCAATAGAAGAAGAGGCGAAAGCGCGTGGGAAAATATGCAATAAACAAAATGATGCCCCGCGCGTGACTGAAATACCTGATCCAGTTTTTTAGAGACTGAACTTTACAAGGACTCTTGTGCTACTCGTAAACAAGAGCAAAATAAAGTAAATTAGCGTCGAGAGATATTCTTAGTTCCTAACTTCAAGTCAGGGCTGTCCTAAATTATGTTTGGAACCATGTCGAAGAAAAAATCGAACGCAAAAAGCAGAATTTTGCTTGGGTCTTCATAATGATCAGAGAAACTTGAGTTGATAAGATACTTCACTCGTTCTTTCCTTTCGCCCCGCTTGAAACCACAATAGCCTCATCATTTAGTATTATTTAAACCAAACGACACGCTGGTTCACTTGTAAAAATAAAATTTATATCGTAGCAACAGACAAAGAGAGGGTTTTTGCAAGTACATCACTGTATCTGTGGAGCGAAGCGAAGGCTACCTCTACGTGATCAAAGATCATTTTTGTTGGATTTCTGGAAACAACACAGTTACTTCCAAAACGTGCACATGAAACCAATTATATCACGAAAACAGACCTTCACGGAAGCAAATGCGGGAAACATTCGAACAATTGATCGAAGTTGTTAGCTCAGGACACGTGTGATGGCACAAGGAGGAATGGACGATCGAGGCTATTATGTACGATTTAAGCCGAAGATTTCAGCGATTTTAGAAATCCATAAATGCTTTTAAGTAAACTACCACATTCGGAAACTTGGGATGAATATTTCTAGTGTGATTTCGTCTTGGAATCAAGTGTAGTGCGTGCAAAATAACGATAGGCTGCTAGAAAATATTCTTAAGAAGGGAGGGTTGTGAAGGTTCGCAATGTCTTGGTGGTAGATTTCATTGTAACTAAGGAATCACGAGACATTCGTTTTGGCAAGTTGAAGGTAAAAACAATATCACAGGCAACTGAACGGTCAAAGTTAAAATTTGAACAGCTCAAAAGCGCTGCATTTGAGAGGTGTATTCGAACTAATCCCTTACATGTCCAATTATAAAATCATAATTTCTTGTGACTACGAATTGATGGATGTAGGATAGGCTTCCTGGGTCCACAAACAACACTGATGAGGAGGTTTTTGCAATTCCTTGCCTTCCTAAACCTTACATTCCGTCTAAGTGTCATAGACGGTTTGGAGACAAAGCCAAGCACACTGTCTGGTTTACGGAGAGCTATAGCTCCACAGGTTAAGCTTTAAAGCTTTGCAACAAAGGATACATTTTTAGCAGCCCATTGCTTGTTCCAATAGCCAACAAGTTCAGTTCAGGATCGTGAGCGATTGCCGAAGGTTTTGGTGGAAAGCCATGTTCCACAGCCTGCAAGAAATTTAGGGTATTTATAAAAGCACATGTCCCTGGAGTTATCATAATCTATTCAAAGAGAAGGCAAGAAACCGCCAAAACTTACCTTGTTGAACAAAAACAGATCCTGACCAAGTTTGTCCTTCAAATGTCCGGAACTCCTATCCCTTGTCCTCGAAAAAAACTTAAACATGGTTGAAGTAGTCGCCTTCCAACAGAACCAAACGCGGCGACTTCACAGACGAATAATTTATTAGGAAGGTTGGAGTAACTGAGACTGCAAGCGAAAGACTCGTTTGAAAATCAATCACGCCTTAGCGAAATTGAGTTCGAGTCATGTGACATCCTGTCAATCAAACCGGCTGGGACCAATGAGATTGCATATCATGATTAAAAAGCGCGCCGAAAGAACACTTCAGCTGCAGGCGATTGGCTTCACAAGTACTCTTCAAACAAAACGTAGAAGTTCAAACTGCTCTGAATTTCTCTTCATGAATAAATTACGGCTGGGAAAGTTGACATGCAGTGTCTTTTGTGACAAATATTTGTTTAGGGGCGCGTGATCAGGATGTATTGTATACGAGTTAATTTTGACAGGCTCCAACATTTTTTGCCTGACGTGTGTCCGCGCGCCCTTTCAATTGCGGGCAAAAGTATGCTAAATTGTGAACCGCACGTATTCCATGCTCCCTACTGCGAATATTTTATTTGGTTTAGTTCAGACTTTGCACATGAAATCGTGAATTTTCGATAAACCAGGAGAAAGAAAATAAATTGTATCATGTCTGATTACCTTTTCGAACAGATTACCCAATACTTTCCACGTGTCGAGAGGGTTCCTTATAAATATGCATATTTTTTCAAAAAAGATATAACTTAGCTTTAAGGACGTTTCACTTCAAGTGAACTGGGATAGTTTTGTTGAATTGTTTTGTCTTAATACAGAACGCCCTTACGACCGCCGTTTACACATAATCAAACATTTTCGGAAGATCTCTATTTTGAAAACATCTTGGTCTCAGCAAACTTCTGAACAGGTCCCTTTCTAATCCCATAAAGCATTCGACTGTAAAAACCCTATGATTTTTTTTTCGGAAACTCGAGCGATAACGAACATGACCTAAACGTGTTTAAAACGTGACCGCTGGGACGAATTAAAACCCTCTTTATTTAGTAAAGAGAACAGGACAAAGGTCTTATGGTGAGACATGCCTTGTCTGATTATAATTGAATACTATCTACCTGACCATGTTTAGTAACGCAAGTTTTAGACTTTGCTGAAATAATGTCTGGGTTTTGTCTACGTGCTTGTGGCTAAACTAAACCTCACCGTTGAAATTTATTATTGATATCGGGTTCGTTCCGAAAACCAATATCGTTCCGTGAAATCTTTTCGTCATACATCACACTTTGATGCTTGAGATGCGGGCGTTAGGTGTCCCGGCTCTTCGAATTTTGCGGCCGTTACGAATGCCAAATACGAAATTGCCAAGTATTTTGACGCCTCCAATGCTTGTGAATCAATCATCTAAAGTTTGGAAATAGTATTTTGAATATTCCTAGAGTTAATCTGGGAATTTCACGTCATTTTACAACCTTTCCTGCTCTAAACCCGTGGTCTTCTCATTTTGTTCCGATATCCCCGAGAACCGGAACAAAACTTCAAGTATGAATGAATTTTGATCACGAGGTCGGCGTTTTATCAGAAAATCTACCGTGAAGTTTATTTACTTATATTTAGAACTAATGCTAAAACTTTTATATAAATATTGACAATAAACGACAGTGATTATCTATGGTAAATAAATATTAAGGTATTAAGCGTTTCCGATGAGGGAATTCTCGTTTGTGAACCAACGAGAATTTCTCGACTGTGAGCATTGCACAATCTGCCAAAAGCGGCGATTTCGATTGACACTGTGAACCTGCCATTCGCATTTTTCTTCTTTAAAAAGATTTTTTTATCTATTTAAATGGAGTAAAATCTGCTTTACTTTAGTGAAAGTCTTGCAATTATAAATAACTATTACGAACACACGAATTCAAAACGAACAAGCAAATGCGGATATAAATAGAAATTCCGTCATCATTTGAGTCCTGACAAGAATTGAAAAAATAGCGATGTAGTTTTTTTTTTTAAATTCTCTTAAAAAGTAAATGGTATCAACTATGAAATATAAAAGAAAAAGAAGTTGCTAAAGACGCACGATACTCGCATGTAGTCCGATTTATTTACGGCAAGATTTGTGGCTATTTTCACCTGAGTTTTGATTGTTTTCTTTTGTTTTCAAATAAGACGAAGCTTGGGCTTAGGAAATGAATAAATAAAGCCGACAAAACACGTTAATTACACAGACACACGTGCCTTACCATTGTTTGGTAGCTTTAAGTAAAGAGACACCGAATATTACCTTTAGTCTTTTAAAGAAAAAAAAATCAAACCCATATCGAAAGTGCCGACAGTTTCCTCAACACCGTTCAAATGGATTTAATTGTCTGTGGTTCTCTTCTGATTACATATTTGGCGAACAACGAAGAGAGACATTGAAGATGAAAAAACTTGCATTACTACTCAAAGAAGTCTTCTTTAACCGCTATGATGTAATGATTTTCACACAATTTAATTGGTCGGGGTCCAAAATATTGAACGCTTCTACAGCAGAGAAGGCGGACACCAAAGGCAAGGAAAAATAAGGAAGAACTTTGAGGAAGTTGACGCTCATTTTCTATTGTTAAACTTAGCTCGCACAATATAGGATTATTAGTGTCAAAGCGTTTCCTCGATGATCGTTATATGAGCTACTAGAACAGTCCTGACAAACTGTTTTGGGAAGCAACTATTTTTATCATTGTGTTTGGCAACGCAATAGTTCATTCGCACGATTTGTTATGGAAGTTGCAAGCTTTTGAGGGAAAAAAATTCTTATTTTTTTTAAGTCATTAGCTGAAGTGGCCGTTATATTGAGACCTATTGAGTGTCCCTCGTTTGCGGTTTGGCGGTTGCTTTTGAATGCAAAACAAATGAACGTGAAAATCATCATGAAAAAGCAGTAATGATTAAAATAAGCAAGATGACATATTTCGGGGCCATAAATTTACCACACTTTTTGCTATGTTTACTCATACGACGTTTCAAGTTTAACATTACTGATCCTCACGGTATAAATAACACAGAACCTAACGTGAGGCCTCACTTGCTCACCAGACCGCGAAATCCGAATAACTGGGGTGTGACTTCCCGTGGGCGATGAATTTTTCCTTGTCTCAGACTCGAGAAAAAACGAATAACATCCTTTATTAGGAGCAAAAACGGTTAGTTCGCAGATCTCTATTTAATCCATATAAGTAATGTTGGCGACTACTATCAATCTCGGAGACTTTGAATCACTTTTTTAGCATGTCTCAACGGAGTTTCACTGATCTGCTCGCCGAATGAGGTTTGTCCAATCAATAAATCAGTTAGGGAAGTTGTAAATCTCAAGGGGCATATCTTAATTAGGAGAGACCACAAAAAGTTTGAATAGACCATTTCCGAGATGCTCACTTAAGCCTCTTTTTCAGTATAAGGGTAAGAGCGATCTTTTGATATGAAAAACAGTCTTTGTTATTCTGTAAACAAAACCTAATATTGCCATCACAAAGGTTTTGCCAACACGGCACATTTTGAAAGTGAGGCTCGGCTGTTTAGGATTTTGAAGAGGTCTGTTCTCGCAAAATTGCGGAAAGAAGAGGAATGGTTGGGTAATTTCGATTGAGTGTCGTAAAAACAAAAGCAAACTAATCACAGCGCCTAATGTGAGAGAAGGATAGTATATCAGGGAGCCAATGAGAACTCGAGGAAAAAACAGGCAACCTGTTTGAAGCGAGGGAAAAGGCGAGTGTTCAAGTCGTGATTGGTTGAAAGGGGTTAAGAGAGTATCACGAGTTTCTAGACCAATCAAATAGCAAATTTAGAGGCAATAATTACGGAGCAGTAAGGGACCTCGTCTCCAGGGCGGGATAGAGCGCCACGCTGCAGAAAGAGGTTTTGTCGAGAGGACCGCACCACCTGAGATGGTTTCCTTTCCAATAGGACTTCATAGGTAATTCTCCTTGCTGTCTGCGATACAATTCCTACGATATCAGTTTGGAGAATTTGGTATTGTATCTTCTAATAATCCCGTAACTGATATTATTATTTATTCCCATCGCTTGTCTGCATGATACTGTATTGATAGAGTAAGGAGAAATTATGTCTTGGTCACTTATGGGAGTTAAAAGGATAGGAGACCACGACCAACTCGACGTCTTTCACATGAGCTTCTGGCCAAGGTCACGTGTTAGGATAAGTGATTGATAGGGCTCGACCCAAGTTCCCGCGGCTGGGTGGAGTAGCTGGAAATATCGTGGTTCATATCTAGTGCCTGGAAGTCTCTCAGCTGCAAAATAAGGATTCGCCAGGGAGAAAGGGATTTTTTCCTCGAGGGCAGCCAAGAGAATCAAACCTTTCCCCTGGGAGGGGTATACAGAAAAGTTTGGCTGGGGGAGTGCCACCATTGTCCTTAAACACTGACCTTGTGTAAAACAAACATACTACAGTTCCCTAACATGTTAAAAGGTAGAATGACTTTAGGTTGGGGATGATACCCGGTTCGAGACGCTGAATAGTGAGATTACATGCACGATTAATACTCAAGAAACTAATATCTTTACTCTGTTTGACGACATAGACCAACTGAGGGAGGAGGACCCCCTTCCGCCCACTCCCTCCCCTCCCGCACCGCACTGTTTCTATCAACCAGGGCATGTAAATTCAGCATCTATTTTCTAAATTCATTTTTAATGTTCAAACAACCGTAATCCCACAGTACATATACATATATATATATATATTAAATACAAGCCGTTTTAAAATTGTAACAGTATTCTTGATTGAATAAATTTTCGATGGGCTGGGCCTGACTAGGTGCACTCAAAAGAGGAAATTGAATTTCGTTGTATCGTTTCTGTTCACTCCGCCAGAGCTTTGATTCCAAAGTTATCGTTCTCCTCAATGTACTCCTCTAGCACTTTAATTATATTGAGTGTATCGTCAGAACAGAGAGCGTGAGCCTCTAATGTGGCGTTTCGGAGCAAAATAGGGCCATTTCCACATTTGAGGAGAAACACATACGACCTGAAAAAACAAAAGATACCCGAATTAGAAAATCTTTATTACGGAAAAATAACTAACACAGACAAGAGAATACGTCTGCGTGAAATGTATCACCTAAAGCAAAAGATGACCACGTAAAAAAAGGAACGTACATACTGGGTATACGTGTGCTAATAAAGTACCAAACTCAGCTTCATTACTTTAATAACTTACGTTAAGAGTTCAGAAATAAAACAAAGAGTTTAAAAGTCTAAATCTAAATAATAATAATAATAATAATAATAATAATAATAGTAATCACGGACACCGCCAGTTTGATAAGTTATATCTCTTATCAGTTCAGAGCGCGACGTGTGGATAACGTTAGTTATTCAACTCGTGTAATTTCAAATTCAAGGTAGTTCTTAATTAAATGAATCACGTCCTGCCAATAGGTAACGGTATAGTAAGTCTCTACTGAGTTGACCATGATCTAATTTAAAATTGGCCGAATCCAAAACAAGATCTTGGCACAAAGTCGACCACATGACAAGTTTGCACCAAAATCCGGTCAAACGATTGTCGAAGCCGATGCGTCAAAGCCAACATTCTCGAGCAGTAACATTTCTTTGAGGCATCCAAAACTTCTCGTTCCTTGTCAGAAAGTCTTCATTCTTTAAAAACTGAACTGAAAATAAACGAAACGTTTGCTATATCGTGAACAGTGAAGGTGGAATAGCCAAATCACGACTTAACCACTTTAAATAACCACAGGCTGCCATCAGTCGCCTCAAGCTCTCCTAAATCTGTTGAGTTGAACACAATATCACTCAACCGCTCAAAAGGGCACTTTGCTGAAAGACATGAACTGTTTACAAATACCTCTCGGAAGCTTCCTATGTCAGATCTAGTTTGAGGCATTCAGTGTAATTAAATCTACGGCTATTCGCTCAAAACTATCATCAGACATCTTAAGTGTTGCTTCCTCACTCCATGAGATTCAAACGTTACCTGACCAATTCTCACTAAAAAAATAGATGCTTCAGCCAGCCTGTCAGTTGGCAATCCGGTCATATGGAAAATTTGTATTCACGCCAGAAAGCGCCGGGAATGACAGCACCCCTTAAACCACTTAGCTAGGGGTTAATGGGTCAAGCATTTTCGGTGGATTGAATTCGGAAATATTAGTCTGGGTCAAACAATGTGGAAGTGAAGCCAAGTGACACAACAATTCCGTAAGCACGTTAGGTAATAAATATGGCATTTTAGAAGCAATTCTTTCTGTAGCGAAACCTATCTGGAGTATGTTTAGCGTCAAGGACACTTATTTTTTTCTTATCAGTAATTCTCCTTACTGTGCGTCATACAATTATCCTGATGGTAGTTTGGAGATTTGGCATTGCATCAACTTGTAATCCCCTCACTAATATTTTACTTTAGTTTTTCTTTAAAGGGTTAGGTCCCGCATTCTGGGGGATTTTTCTAATGATTTTAAATCGTTTTCTTTTATCAAATATGCTTTGCAGTCCGGAAAACTTACATCAACACACCCCTTCCATAGATTGACACTACTCATGTGCTGACACGACGAAGCCAGGGGCCAAGGTAAATAAACCCCCCACTTTTTCTCCGCCAATGTTCAACTGAGTGCCAAGAAAAAAAACCTCAGTTGCTTTCAAGGTAAATATGAAGGCGTTTGATGGTTTAACTGACATGACAGTGCGATAGTAATAGGTCCCAAGTCCAAAGACTGTTCCAACTGGTGTTCCTATTTTCCAAAGAGACTAATTTTCATTATTCGCGTAAACCTTGCGTGTGCTCACGCGAGGAGGATGGACGAGTATTGACTTCGAAAGGAGTCTACGACGATTCCCTGAAAGCACTGAATGGTCAAATGAACGTGTATCAGATCTAGTTAGAGGCATTCAGTGTCCGCGAGTATCCCACGGAGCTTTCGCCGAGTGTTTAACGGAAGTACTCATGCAGCAAGCGCTGAGAAAGCGCGGAAGGGAAGGTAATACGGCTTGAGTCAACCAAACCCGATTTAAAGATTGTCAGAAGGACGGGCGGAAGTTGATTCGAAATATTTCTGCATTGCACATCCATATTTGGTCAAATGGGTTTTCAGAGTTTTAGTACGGAACTGATGTCGTGGGCGGCGTTGATCAATCTCTCTCTCTTCTCTTATTTCGTGCCTCAAATAATTAATTTTTCTAGCCGGGAATGATATGAAAAGCTTAATTCCGGGAAAGACAGAAAAAAGTATTGAGGGCGATTATCCACATGCAAGAAGGTCACAAACAGACATTTTAAATATTTTTCTTACGAAACAAAATTTCGCCTTGTCAATGTTTTCTTCTTTACAAAATATAAAAACTTGAAGAAGACACAATAAGATTCAACTTGTAATCATAAGGGGATGGTCAAAAAAAAGTGAATTTTCATATGGTTCCTTTGAAAAACAGACAGTGGTAGAAATAAATCTAAAGATGTTTCTTAAAAAAATAGAACCAAGTGAGTGTTCATCATGCAACAATTCTTCAATCGAAAATCAATCAATCATCATGATTGTTTAAAAATAGATGCAGTGTTATCTTCCCAGCAGGCAGAGAAGTAAAGATATGCTCACGTCTCTGTTGTGGATCGTGTGCTGAAATTATAAGCGAAAAAATCGCCACTTGAAAGGTTGAGTGTCCACGCACTACTAATTGAATTTTCTCTGGTATTTTTTACTTGATGGCAGAGCTTATAAATAGCTTCACAGACAGATATTTGGTTTATAATATCTGACGTTCCTTAGATAATATGACGACGGCAAAGTTCAAAAATGCTGACAGGGGGCGAAAATGAAATAAAAAAAATAAATATTCTTTATCTTAAATCTAGTGATTTGTTTCTATCAGTGAATCTCGCTGCTAATCGAGTTTGTTTTGGCTAGACGCTGTTCAACAGAAACTGGCGCTCTTGTTTAGCGGTTTGCAATTCTGATTTCGAGCTGAACTTGGGGATTAAACGTTGCAAGCCTTCGTTAACTATCTCCATAATCTGCCATAAAAACATGACGCAAACTTGCAGGTTCTCTTATAAACCATGTCTCTGAAGAACAGATACCTCTTGTTCCCGCAAAGGATTTAATTAAGGTTTCAAGGATTAAAATGCTGAATTGTGCTACTTCTCTGCTATTTGCACCATACGTAGCGATCGGCCTTACCGAACAGTAAAGAAATTAACTATAGGTCAGTTTTTCCACCATTACTGAGACCTCCAAAAAAATGATTGCGCTAAACTGTCTTTGTTTTTTTAACGCGACTAAGACTTAAAGAAAAACTTGAAAAAATTAAGCACGTATATACAAAATCATGGTATGAATATATGATAACTAAACAACAGAGGCGTGTTTTAAACATTCGGCTACTCTTCGATCAGCGAGGGAAATTGTTAACTCTTGCAATTGTCCTGTGTACCAAATCGGTATCCGCCGCTTTCGCCCCCTATCGAGTTCGCCCCTACCTTATACCGTGTTCGCCCCCACACTTTTCGAGTTCGACCCCATCAAGTCGAGTTCGCCCCTTGATTGAGTGATATCCAGATGAATGAATGAAATAAAGCTAAACGGGTACAAGTCTAACAACTTAAGCAATGCTGTCGCGATGAAAGCGTGGTTTGCATCTTCTCAAGTCTGGTTGTTACGATCAACACATTTCGCGTTCGTTAGATAAACCGTGTGGTTCTCTTTATCACAAGTTCAGTGTATACAGTTATTTCTGGTAACCCCAGATCCCACGCAGAGTATTTAGTTGATTCCGTCAACCCAGTTCCCAAGCAGGTTCCACGCAATTGCCGAAATTCAAAATGATCATCGCTAACGTGACATTTGGATATTCTGCTAGTGCCTTCGTCACAAATCAACTCATCTGGATATCACTCAATCAAGGGGCGAACTCGACTTGATGGGGGCGAACTCGACTTGATGGGGTCGAACTCGAAAAGTGTGGGGGCGAACACGGCATAAGGTAGGGGCGAACTCGAAGGGGCGAACGCGGTGCAATTCACCAAATCAGTACTACATTAAAAGATAGCTATAATATTTCCGAAGACGTTTTTGCATGGTTTTATACAAATTCCCATCGGACATATATAAAACACAGGGTTTACACAAATATTGGCGAGCAAAATTCAATTCTTTATATCTGAAAAAGATTCCTTTTGTTGCAGACTAAAATAGAATCATGAATTGTGAATATATAGCAACCGATATGAAATACATATCAACAACAGAAATTTCACGTGTAAGAGTTTTAAGAGTCCTTTAAATTCTAACGTGCATTTGGCGAAGACAAAACTCTATGCAAAATTAAACTCACAAACATTTCTGGAGAGACACAAAATGACTCCTCTCTTCTGTTTTCTTTCCATGAATTAATCAGCTATATTTTCTAAACTAGTTTGCAAATTTCCACAGGTTTGTTTTCAAGAATTCTAGCTATGCATTGGCCCAGTTAGGCCAGATAGTCTGCAGAGCAAGGGTCGTTGCGCATTCCAGCCAATCGGAGAGAGAGAAAGACGAAAAAATTGATTTATGATTCTATCCTGCACGCAATGTCGCTTTACAGTGCGCGCGGAAAGTTTGGTAAAACATTCGAGAAGCTAAAATCGCCTCCGGCTATGCCTCGAGCAAGTCTCTTCTTTCATTCGAGTTCTTCCGTGTTAAATATAATTCGATAACGCACGGAATGGTGGAATGATTGTTGTTTCGTGGAATAAAGTTATTCTAGCTATCATAAACAACTCACTTTCTTTCATTTGCTTTGAAACGTTCTTTTTTCTGCACATGGTTGACAACTGGGTAAAATTTCCGCACAGACCCATACTATTGTAAAACAGATCTGTTTTCCTAATGGCAATGTATTGTTTTTGTCATTGTTTTCTCTATCCAAAAAACTGAATGCATAATGTAGTATGGGGCTGTGCGGAAACTTTACCGACAACTGAGGCAGACCGATACTGTGAAAAACTTGTGTTAATCTTAACCACCTACAGAAACGTCTTCGATATTAGCTGGTCGGTTTCCTTTTGTTTAAAACCATTTCATTCATTTGAAAAAACTTTTTTAAGATGTCGTGACGCAGCTCGTGGCACCTGACGAGGAAGCCATCCATTTTCAGCGAGCGCATCGTGGCTTTCCTAATTAAACGGTGAAATGACAAACACCAAGAAAAAAATTCACGCTATTACGAAGGAATACGAATGCGAAGGACAATGAAATTCACATCTGATGTCGCTTATTTTCAATCCTTAAATTGACCCAACAGAAAATAGTTACATATGTGCTATTCACACCACTACTGATATGCAAATATTTTCAAATAAAACTGAACAAACAGCCTAAATGCACCCAACAAATATCTTCAGTGTTTCTAGAAATATGTTAACACGCATAGTTAAAGCCTAAGGCGAAATGAAAAAAACCAAAATTGGTAAACACGGATTCAATTGCGCGACAAGAAAAAGCAGTGCACGGGGGTGTTGCCTTTCTGAACCCACAAGAGCGGGGCGTTATCATTCCGAACTGACCTATTATCTTAGTGACGCAAACAGAAACAAACCGACCACAATTATCCGTTAATAACAAATTCACGCTTCGATTTTGCGGTGTTGACATTAGTCTATAACACACTCTCTTGAAGTTTGACTCAATATTTTGCCCTGAAGCACACTACAGAGTCGACTGAATTCCCGAAAGGAGAGGTTAGGTAACACACAATTACATACAATTTTCTTTTGTCTCCCTTCGATGCGCCTAGAAACAACTGCGTGTATGACTGAACAAACAACAATTGCAGCGAGATAAAAAGAATTAGACGGTTAAATTAGCTGGACAACTTGCGCAAACAAGTTATCACAAACCACAGCGACAGTTTGAAACCTTAGGTCAAGTAAACTTGATTTTCAAATATCTGAGTGATACTTTCAATAGTACTTCTCGTTTTCAACATTGTCCAAATTTGCGGCTAATTTTGAAGCTCTCAGTAACTCTTTTGAGACAAGAGTTAAAAAAAAAAAACTGAATGACATTGTCACTTAGTAACGCGTGAATGGTTTTCTACAGCTGCACAATGGATTCACTGACACGTAGTCTCTGATGTTGATTTTAGACGAAAGTAAATGGCTCTCTGCCTTTCTTTGACCGTTTTCCGTATTTGACTTTGAATAAGTTGAACAAAGCAGTTTCAACAAACAAAATCAAGTCAGCATACAAAAGTAGGGCAAATTTAAAATTCAACAAGCTATATTAAATTTTTGGGAAAATAAAAGTTGTGAAAAACGTGTTATACGAAATGAGTTTGCTTATTTCTTTTTACCAGAGTGTCGAGACAAACTAAAAACTCCTCGAACCGAAATGATTCGTTCTTGTCGCAATTGACATTGCAGATAAAAAATAAAAATTCATACAAACTTACAAAGAGATATTACTATTCTTTGGAAATATTACTTTTATGCTTTTTAGTTAACTATATGCAAAGTGAATGCGCAGTAAAAGCTGCAGTGAGTGAAGCGTTTGCAAAAGTTCCTGTCCGGAAAAAATTAAAATTGTCGTCAAGGGAGCGAAGATTATGAAATGTATTAAAAAAGTAACGAGCGATTCGCCTTGCACGGAAAGCTTTTTATTCTTAAAATTTCCTTGCTAAAATCACGAGCGGTTTAGGCTTGATGAGATTCATTTGAACCTTAATGCAAATTATGAATTAAATGTGTTGGAGTAAACAAAACAGGTACTAAAATTCTGCGTTTTATAAACTTCGAAGTGAGAACGTCTTTTGTTCACCTCTAGGGCCATTTCGAAGCTACTTCGGCAAATATAAGGTTTTGAGTTGTTAATTCTTTCCTATTACTATGTCAGTACAACCTAATCCTGAAGCTCGCAGCGAACAGGCAGTGGACAACTCAACCAGCTCAAGTTAGAAGTAATGTTAGGACATGTTTTTTTTCCACCCTTCCCTCCCCTCCCTGCCTCGTATTCCACGCCACAACAGAAATATAGTATTTTGATTATATCATTGTTGGAAACTTGCCTATACAAAGCATAATGATCAGTCTCTGCCTGTCTCAGGAGTCTCTTCAATGTATTCAAATCGTGATTTACCTGTGGGGAAAAAAAGATAGATATCAAACACGTTAACAACTCGAAAGCAGTGTAACAAGGCGGGGTGTCAGAATTCGAACAAGAAAGGGTGCAATCAAGCTTGTGCTTAATGGCGGCCAGACAAGAGGTGTTGTTAGTTTTAGAAGCAGTAATCTGATAGATAATTCTAAAGAATCTCTATTTATAGGCCTAAGAGCGTTTCTTTTCAATACAGGCAGAAATTTTTTTTCCGTCAAATTTTCACTTGGTTTTGTTCAAAGATCGACGTAGGGCTTTTCATTGAGATACTACTGCCTTAATGAATTTCAGACCTAATTGTTATCTATTCAAGGTCTTGATTATCATATATAATTAAAAGATTAAGGGATTAACTCAGTTTTATACAAATGTCTGAGACAGGAAGTTCGGGCATCAAACGTTCACAGAAAATTAAAAAGCCAGCAAGTCATTGCATTAGCAACCAATTCATGTCTGGCATAAAATTCGCTTAATGGGGTTTTACACCGGAACTCATAACGTGAAATTTCGCCTATCTTCTCGTAGAAAAGTGCGCATCGCTTACAACAAACGTTTTGTATAGTCCTGTGTTAAAACAAGGAAACCGGTGATATCTAAAAAAAGAGTATTGCTTTTCAGAAGAAAGAAAATGTATGCAATTACTAGTTCAGTAAAGCCACAAAATACCAGACAATATCAGTTAGGTATCTTGGCAACATATAAAGGACAACAATGGACACGTTACAGCATTTAACGCTGCCTCCTGTCTTTTAATTGCGAAAGATGCACATAATAAAAGCGCCCGTTTCAGGCATTCAGTCAGGAACACGAAGCGAATTGATAAACGGTGCGATTATAGCGGCAGAAAAAAAGCGATGGAGGTTTGGGTCGGGTCATAGATGCAGAGAAGTCTAAACAGCCAATCAGAAGAAGTGAATATCTAAATGAGCCGATGAGATGTCATAGCTGAAAATGAAAAATTACGTGGGGGAGGGCCAGTTGCCTAGTTGCGATTGTTAAAGGTATTGAATTTGATTGGTTTGGAAAAAAATAGCCTTTTTTTTCTAGATCAATTGCACACAAAAGTAAAATGGAACATGCACTCAGATTAGCAAAAATTACCCTCAGTTTGTAGTTCTCAATCACTTGTCGAAGGAAGACAGGATTGTCCACTGCTTCACTCAACATGGTTTTTGCCCATTCTCTACAAAACCGCGTACTTACTACAAAAAAAATCAGAAAACAATTCCAGATTTAGACTTAATTATCATGTGACAAATGTCTCTCAGACACAGTTCACATACACACTTTGTATTATAAAACTTTAGAAAATGACCTAGATACTACAAGAACCCTGTTTGGTCAAAACCCCATTGTTTATTGCACCACTGGTCAACCCAAAGAAAATTGAGGTTTATTTTATAATAGCAATAGACTGCACTCTCTATCAGTTTCACCAGCACAACAAAAACACTAAGGATGTTGGGAAAACACGCAAACAGTTTATAAATTCTTCCCCTCTGGCTTGTGATTACAAACTTTTCAAGCATTCTCCCAACATCCAAAAGTGGTTTATTACACTGCTAAACCAGTAGCAGGTGCATTCTATTGCTTTTATAGAAAAAAAGCTCAATTTCCATGGGTTGACC